CCGTGAGGAGCCCCAGCTCGCGGCACCGGCCCTTTCCCGTGCGGACGCCATTCGGTGTTGCCCAAATTTCTGACTCTCGCGGGGAAGTAAATGACTAATTGCCAGCTCTGGTAACACCCTCGCTTAGGAGGAAAAAGGGGTGTTTGCAGTCCGCTACAAGCAGTTATCCGGAAAGGCTTCACAAGTTTTATGTCATGATGTCAAGTTAGGAGACAAAATCAGCATACTCGAGGGCACTATAGATGACGACAGTAGTGTAATGTGTAAGAGAATAAAGCTGTTTTACATAATTCAGGTTTTAAGTCTCACTTAACAATGTGGCAGTAATACAGACCTGCTGAGTCTGAGTTACTCATCGCTTTTAGCTGCTCAGTATTTCATTTAGCACGTAAGTGAATGAATGTTCTGAAAGGAAAGCTCTTGAGACAGTTTTATTGTTCAGTATGGTATAAAAAGTATTCATTTGTGCAATAAAGTGTCCTAAGTAAGTAAATAAGGTAGAGAAGGAACTATTTTATGTGATTCTTCTAGGTTGGGGTTGCTTTTTATTTGATCTTTGTGTCAATAGTAATAACAAATGTATTATATAGTCAGATCTGGTGAACTCTTGATTAAATTTACTTGACGTAGGCCTTTATAAGAGAAATCTAAATTATTTGGCTAAAATACACTTTTACTTTCTATTGGTGATAATAAATCCACTTTTTATTTTTTTTTAGGCAGGTGGTTTTTTAGCAACCACAGATATTTTGCACATAGCAGAATAGTTCTGTATAAATCACTTTAATTTTATTTCATAGGCTGGTCGCCTGCTGATACGGAAATTAATTGCAGAAAAGTTGTGTATACCTTGGAATGAAATACACTTGCAGAGGACATCAAAAGGGAAACCTTTCCTGGCAAATAATGTCTTCAGTATCTATTCAAATTACAACTTTAATGTCTCTCATCAAGGAGATTATGCAGTTCTTGCAGCTGAGCCTGAGCTTCAAGTTGGCATTGATATTATGAAGACTAATTTACCAGGTAATGCATTATGGTGACCAAAGCAGATTCTGTAGTGTTTAAGTGCTGAACATTTTAATGTTTCCCAAAGAACCAATCTTTGTCTTAGAAATTTAGTGTAATTGGAAGAAAGTGTATGAATGTATTGTGTATTTGCTTTTTTAATTGTAAATGCACTCACTGTTTATTTAGGGTTTTCTATTATGCCAGAGACGGATATATTTCCAGTTTAGAAAAGCAGAACCCTGGAAAAATAAGGTCACGCATCCTGCTATGATATTGGCAGGACTTTCCAACTAGGGACAGTGGGATCCATCCCCAAGAGAACTTTATAGCCTCAGAGTGTTACTGCCTTGTCCCGTAAGTGAGGACATTGTATGTGTCAGCACCAGGCCCAATACTGTAGCAAACTGGCATTGAAGATTTGCTGTGAGTGTGCAGAAATCCTCAGTCAAAAGGAATCATGAGAGAACATTTGAGGTGCCCCTGTAGAAAAATAAACTTCACAAACTGTAGTTGTTGGCCTATTTATTTGTATGAAATGTCATGCTAACCTTACTATATTAATGGACTTCAGGACCCACATTATAAATAAGAATTGTAGCGAAGTGTATTTCTAAATACAGTTTTATGAAGATTATTTAGTTCACAGATGTTCATCGGTGCATAACTGGGTTCAAGAAGGAATGTACTGGAATTTATGATTTACTGGAATTTTATTTTTTGAGACTCCACCTCAAATGTTTAACCAGATATGACAGGATTAGCTGTGTTCTTAGAAAATCTCTCCGCACAATCTTCAATTTACCCAGCATTTTACTCTATGAAATAACTTGTGTGGCTGGTCTGGAAAAGGTACCCCCCTGAAGGGACTGCAGTTACGCAGGGCCCAAATACCAGATTAAGCTCGAGGCGAGTGCTTTTATTATAGTTTTTCCAAGCAAAACAAACCAAAGTGATGTCCTGGTTGTGTCCCCTCCCAGTGTCTTGCACACCTCCAGCCTATTTGCTGGGGAAGCAGAGTTACAGAGAAGGCCTTGACACTGTGCAAACACTGCAGCAGTAAATAAAATATTGGTGTAGCATCAACACTTTTAGTTGTAGATCTAAACCACAGTGCTTTACAGGCTGCTATGAAAAATTCCAACACCCAGACCCAGTACCCTTGGAAACACTTTGGCTGCATGTGCCACAGGCCATACCACAAGACTCCCTAATTACTCATTTTAAAAAGCTTTCCTGTTTCAGCAGGTAAATAGTGAAAATCAAAATGCTCAAACGTTCTTCTTTGTGTGTTCAGCTTTTCTTGGGGAACAAAAAATTGAAAGTCATTTATACATGCCATTTATGGAGGTAGGGATATCTGGTGTCCTCTGCTGGCATTTTAAAGACACATTGCTGATGTCCAGCTGACAAATATTATGAAATGTGTTAAACTCTCCTTCTGAAAGTAAGAAATAATTGTGAAGAGTAGAGATTTAACTTTACATTTAGGTTTACAAACCTGTATTTGTATTACTTCTCCATTTTGGAATATAATGCATTCAACTTTGTAAGGTAATATATTCTTTGTAAGAGAATATATCCTTATAGTTATTTTCCACTTAATAGAAAAAATGTCTTTTAACTTCAATATTAGCTGGCTTTACTTAAAAATCTCTACTGCTTTCTTTCTCTTGTATTTTTTACGTATTCATTGTTCGTTTCTTGTTTCCGTCACGTTAAATCACAGAAATAGTGGATAACTCAAAGTCTATTGATCTATTGCTCATTCTGCAGGCAGTGTCAGAACAAATCAAGGTTCTTTTACCTTGTGTCTGAGTGTATTCATTCTGTGTCCCTAGTCACTGCTGTCATAAGGGGTGTGGAATCAAATTTAGGCTGTCACTATGTATTGTTGCTTACTCTTAGTTATGTTAATTTTAGCAGGCTAAATTTAGGAAAAAATTATCTTGAGTTCATCCTATTGATGATGTTTTGATTGCTGTTCTGCTGCTATGATGTAGCTTTTTGATTACCTGTCCTAGGGTTTCCAAATAACAACATGAAACTGAACTTTAAAGTAGGATTTGGTATTTGGGAAAGAGTTTAAACTCAGCAGAAATGTAGGAAAAGCAATGTAACCGAACTCAATTTTTAGTTAAGTGAAAACAGGGTTTATATACAATATTCAGTTCTTAACTTCTTCAGTAGCAAGAGAGGCTCTTGCCGATGTGTCCTAGAATTGTCGATGGCAGCAGTCATGACCTCTTACCGTAAAGCAAATGTTGCCGCATCCCTCTGGGCAGCTGCGCTCAGCAGCTGTGTGGATTTAATTTGTGAATATGAGCTGGTGAGACTAAGTAACACTGTGAGATCTGATACAAACAGGCTTCAGTGTTGTCGTGCATAGAGAGTAAAATGGTGGTTATTCTGGAGATGCGCATGATTCCAAAGACTAAATGATGGAATTAATTTGGTGCTCTTGTAATAAATTGATACTGAAAACCCATGTATCCAGATGACTAATCTGAAACAAGCTAGTGACAGATGCAGCCTGCTAAGATTCCTGAACATGGGTCCTTTATCCACCTTTATCTACCTTTCCCTTTTGTCAGAGATCTAGGTATATCTTAACAGGTAAGAGGGCTGTCAGAGCAAGTCACTGTATCAACAATCTGAATTCATGGTGGCAAGCTTCACAGTGTATACAGAGGAGTACAAAATGCATCATTACAAAATTTCTGGTTTTCCTTTCCAATATATGAAGTTCTGCAGCTAGCATAATCTGTCCTTAAGTAATTGAGCTGTCAACAGCTTGTGTACCTATTTTCTATCTTTTGTCATTTTGTGTAAGAAATAACTGTTGTAAGAGTGTCAGCGCCTTGTCATGCAATTGTCTTCCACATTATGTAACTTTACATAAATATTTGTGAATTAAATAAAAAATACCAGGTTCCAAATTTTAAAGAGGTTTTGTTTATGGCCATAAATCTTCCTTTCTGGAATTACATTTTTTTTTTATTTTATTTTATTCTTAAAAGAAACATGATAGTAATGAAAACTTAGTAATTGTATGTGGGAAAGTGAGCCAGCAAATAGGCAATGTTAAGGACAGAATTTTAAATTATAGTCTCTGTAATATGAACTAAAGCTAGCAGTTTTTTCACATAAAAAATTTCTGAGAAGATTTTTGTCTTAGTAGAATTACGTAGAACTGGTTTTACTGCTGTGCTATATGTAACTTTGACTTTACCAGTATTGTTTTATCTGATAGTTCCACTGAGTGGTGCTGTTGCTCTGCAGTTGCTAAGTACATTACATTTCTGAGAGTGAATCCACTATAAATCTCTTTCTCTGGAATAGCTACAAGGACAAAGAGTTCCCTGCATACAAAGTACATTACAGTAGGTTTTTTGTTGTTGGGTTAAGGGTTTTGTTTTTTTCAAATGCTTGCTTAAATACAAAGTACTTCATCTTATGACGTTACCTAACATGATCTTGATTGAGGTCTCCAGTATTCTAGTTCTTATATTCCTTTATTGTTCTACCAGTGAAGAAAATATGCAGTTCAAATGTACAGGAGAGTATCATGCAGCTGAAAGTTTTGAGCAATATGCTATTAAATTGTGTGCCTGCATGTAACAAGGAGACCTGGTGCACACAAACATTTTATGTCACTTCTTAATCTATGCTATCTACTTTTTTTTTTTTTTTTACTCATGTGCAATAAGAAGCCACCTCTTTCCATATTACTCTTGCTCCATTATTAAAACCTGAAAAACGAAACTACTGCAAGACATAGCCTTCTTCGAAGGGGAAGGCAGGCCAGACAAGAAGCTATTCTTAGCAGTGCAAGTAGACACAGTTCGCTACAAAAGTTCCACAGGTATGCAACAGTTTATCACCTTTTTTCTCTATTCAGACGCTGAACTAAATAAGACAGTGATGGTAGAAAAGGAAAATGTCCTCTTTAAGTATTGTGTGTTGTTGCTTTTTGGTTGTCTGGCAGGTTATTGTAGATTTAAATCAGGCTTTCAGTGTACTTGTTTTTGAAGAATTACTGAGATCAATGATTTTTTTCTTCTCTTTAGATCAGTTTAAGATGAACTTTTGAATGATTTGAGAAAACGCACACTGTACTGTAAATTTGTTAATGAAAGTAATTGTGGACATAATTTGGCAAGAGAGGTAATGCATATGAAATTATTTTAACCTTTTCACAAAATAAATGTGAAAGATTCTCACAGTACTACTAACTCCTGTGGAAAAACTCAGCTCGTGATAAGTATTTGATTTTTTTTAAACTTATGGACAAGAAATTTTGCAACAAGTGTCAACTTGGTTTAAGTGGTGTGTGGGATGTTGATTTACCAGTCACTTAAACCCTGTAAAGTAGAACATTTTCAGAGACTTAGGGAATAATTATAGCTTAATAAAGATTGCTTTAGCATTTGAAAAAAGTTTACATCTTAGGTTCAAGAGTTCTCCTGCTGTGCAAGTGAATTTCTTTTCAGTAATGCAATTTTTTAGCTTAGATGGAATTACAAAGGTAAATAAATTAACAGTTCATTCCTAATCTTTTGTAATCAGCCTGCCACTTTTTTTACCTATTGCATTACGGTTACTTTGATCCAGACATCTCCAATCTCAATGTAATTGCAGAATTAAATATTTCGCATGCAGTAAAATTAGCTTTTCTCATTAATCTTTCAGTTTTGTGCTGGGATTGCTTATTAAAAAACACAAAAGGCTAAATTGACTGCATGTGAATTTTACAGAAAATTAATTTGATCTAAAAATACTTCCTGAAATGCTTTTTTAAGGAAGTAGGCTATGATGTGCAAACACCTGATTGTTTGAAACTGTTTTTCTCTGAGGCAAAGAAATATAAACAGAACTTAACTAATTTTTCTCTTTAATTCTCATTATTTCATCACTGAGGGAGATAATAGAAGATATGATAGAGATCTTCAAATCAGAGATATGTTACACATGAATCAGAGGATCTAAGTCCCACACGAAGAAGCTAAATACCATAC